TAAAAGCAGCTGCTTTTACCCTGAAGCTAAAACACAAACAGATGGACTATATGTACAGACTTGTGGATAGTAGCGCTGGTAGATTTAGGGGTGTCAGACTAAAGGAGGGGGCATGCTGTATGTTTCAGATTGTTATTATCTGAACGGTATTAGTTGTTTTGCTGCAGCTTCCCAGTTTATGGTTTCAGTCTGAAATCCCTAAAGAAAACATGAAGGTCTGTGGCTGTAAGTCTAGATGCTCTCTTCCCCTTTCATGCAGAATATTGGTTAAAAATGAAAAATTAAAAAAGGAATTCATATCCAGCGGGTTCCCATGTCTGCTGCACTTCCTGTTTTTTGGGTTTAAGATCGTCTGTCTCACTCAGTAAATATTTAACCACTTCTTCACAACAGAAACTGACAGGTCAGCAATTTAATTGTTGTCCTCATTTTAATCTGGATGCACTTGTTTGCTCTGGTTGCCATGGTGAATCCACCTTTCTGTTTGGATTTCAGAGCAGGTCCAGGCAGAGATCGACCAAGTGGTGGGCAGCCAGCGTCCTCCGTCTCTGACCGACAGAGGAAGTTTGCCTTTTACTGAAGCCGCCATCATGGAAGTGCAGAGACTGACGGCAGTGGTTCCTCTCGGCATTCCTCACATGGCTTCAGAGACCACAGGTAACGCCACCCCTGAATAATAAGATAACTGATCTCATGGATTTCACAGAGATGGAGATTGACCATCTTCTCTTACGCTGTTGTTTCAGAGTTCAGAGGCTTCACCATCCCCAAGGGAACAGTTATAATGCCCAACTTGTATTCGGTCCATAGAGATCCCAGTGTGTGGGACGATCCAAGCGCTTTCAACCCGGCTCGGTTCCTGGATGATGATGGAAAGTTGCTGAGGAGAGAGTTTTTCATACCCTTTGGTATTGGTACGGCACTCATTTACTCAGGAGTTACATGACTTAAACATTCATGTTCGCCTGAAAGATCATCAGATGGTTTATATATTCTCCTTAGTAATGATGACTGTAAATCATTGCTGGTAAAAACCAAGGATTTTTCTGATATGAAGACAGAATTCTCCTAAAAGTACACATGTATAATAAATACTGAGTCTTCAAGCATATTTTGAACTTTTCTTGCATGCAGGTTCAATACTATGAGGTCCTTAATAAGTCACACCCATGAGTTCAAGCTAGTTTGCTTTTTATGCCCCTGTAGATTCTCTCCTACTGTCCTACTGACCTGTTTCTGTGGCTAAAGTCAACCTTTATCACTTTGAAGGAGGAACCAACCTGAGAAAGTAAACTGCCTGGTTGGATTAACTACTTTTCAGGAAAAACTCCCAAAAAAGAAAATTAAAAACAATCCGCTGGATTTTGTTTCCAAGTTTGAAGACGTTTCGTTTCCCATCCAGGAATTTTTTGCAATTCAAAATGTCAGGAGTAGTGTTGAGTTCGAGCTCAAGAAAGCAAGAGAAGAAGCATGAACTCATGGTTGTGACACATTGGAGGGCTCATTGAACAGAAGTAACTTTGTGAAGGACTGGTGTGGACATGTCCCCACCAATAATCTCTGTTTTTGCCTCTATTTTCAGCTCATTTTCTTTAGCCAAAGGTAACAGAGGTTGG